ACACACACTCGCGAGCTTCCCCCAGACCAGTAATCCAAACGAAAATATGTTCCCTCCGTACTACTTTGATAATTTATTAGCCGCTAATAACCAATCAGATCGATGGATTCCAGAGAAGAGGAAACTTTGAAGGCCTTCTTCTCAAAATAATGACTCGGTGACTGTCATTATATAATGTGACATATTTCGCTTAATATTTGGAGTACAACAGCAATCGTGATATCACTAGAAAGCTAGGAATCTCCTCTTTCCAACAGTATACAACTCAAAATGTGTGTTCGGGTCAATGTGACTGATTTCAATGGAGCCGGTCACATATGATAATTAGCATGATGCTAACAGATGAATGTTTATGGATGTTCTTTAAAGAGTTCAGGTGTGTAATAGTCTTATGGCCTGTGGAATAAAACTGTCCCTGAGTCTGGTGGTTTTACTCCTGACAGAACAGTTTGTGGCTGGGGGTCTTTTGTAATCCTTTGGAGCGTCCTTGTGGTTAATGTCGTTAAGAAGAACTTTTTTCCTTCCTTTCCAGGTTCCCCCTCCAGTCCCGAAGAAGCCGAATGTCCTTCTTCTTCCCTCAACGGTCCATTCCTCGACCAACGGGAGCACAGACCGTCAGACCCCTCAGGCCGACAGTCCTGTGGGTCTTCGCTCTCCCGTAGGAACGTTCTCACCGGAAGAGTTTCCCAGTTCTCCTAGTGTTCTCGATATGCTAGAACAAGATGAGAACCACTTAGGAACCGACGAGGAGAGTTCAAAAGAGTCATCGCTTCATTCGTCTCTGCAGGATTCCTCCCTCACAGAGCTAGGAGGGAAGATGGCCAGCACTGAGATTGGAGCAGGTAACTTTTTGGAGAAATATCTGCATACTAGGGTCACAGTTTATCAAGAAATTAAGTCGTAGTTTAATATTCTGCATTATGCATGACTCAAACTTATATTAAAGATGAAGCTGATTAGATAAACCCTGATAAAGCTGAAGAAAGTCTGTTTTGAGAAGCACATTTTTACCTCATTTGGCTTGAAAAACGATTGTTGCTAGGGTAGAACCACATTGTAGTCAGCTTGCAATCACAGCATTTAAAACGGATTACAAAGGGAACCCAGTTTCAAATTAAAATATGAGGATCAGCATGTCCATAACCTTTCTGCTAATCATCTGCAGTGTGTCCAAAACCTCCACATTGCGTCCAAAACATTTGGTAAAAGCTTTCGTTTGTCAAAGCGAATTTCAAATGCAACAAGAGATTCAAATGGAAACTGTGTTCAAACCATATTTTGATCCTTTGAATGCAAGTGATTCATCGATCAATAAATAATTCAACCCAACCGTCTATGCTCTACCTCAAAAAGTTTTCTTTTACATATTTCAGGACTGTTCATTAAAGCATGGAGTTCATTTCGGTAACTTCTGTAGTGTTGCAGTATCTGTCGACTGCTGAGTTGTGCACTTACATATTAATCGGAAATGTCTTGGTGTGTTTGTCTATTTAGAGGCTATGGAGATTAAAAATAGACCCTAGCAAACATGCAGTGGTTGATAAAACATAATATAACAAATGTGAGGAACTGTGTAACCTCTTTTCCTTTCATTTTATATGCATGTGTTTCATGATAGCCTGTCAGAGCTGCTACATTTGATTAGGATCCTTCACTGCTGCGTTTGATACATAACCTGCTGATTCTACCAGTAGAAATATCTCAGGTTTTGAATCAAATCAAAGACCAATTGCTCTAAAATTGGGCCAAATCAAAACACGGACTTGTTCACGTTGTTTTTAACCGTAAAGATTACATTTATCGTTATTATTATTATTATTATTATCCAATTATACACTCATTCTGTTACTGACTCAAGTAGGGCTTTGGTGGAAACTACATTTCAATGTGATACCTTCTTTCTGTTTTTGTTCAGATGACTCGGCAGCTGACGAGAAGACGGTACTCCACATCGCAGAGGAAACAGATGATGACATGTTGCCCAGCACACCTGCAGCACACACCACAGAAGACCTGTTCACGATCATTCACAGGTTTGTACACACACACACACACACACACATTTCAGTCATGCAGTGTACATACGTTCTATTATGTTTACCAATAATGATATTACGCAAGAGGCCTTTTCTTAAGAGGCTTTTGGAAAGGTTAACGGCACGTGCAGTTACATCCGTCCTATTATAACCTTTCTGACGAGAGATGCATTGTCTTGTTGAAAAGGTGAACAGCGGACAGAGCATAATGTTCCCTAGCAACGGCTTCACGTACAATGTGATGCTGCAAGACCGGCGGCTCCCTTTTTATACTTTTTTTTTTTAGAATCTCTTTCAAGCACACAGACACACACACACACACACACACACACACACACACACACACACACACACACACACACACACACACACACACACACACAGAATCCCAAGAAAAGCTAGTCTCTAAGCAACAAGTGTTCATGGTTTTACCCTCCTGTAAGGCTGCAAATAGCTTGAAAGGCAGAGAAGTAAAGGTGAAGGTGTGTTCATCTCTCACAGGGAAAGGATGGAGTCCCTTATGTAGTCACACGCTTTAGAGGTTTTCAATCAGACTCGTTTAGTTTGAGGATAAAACCTGCCTGCGGCCTCGTGACCCTCGTGGAAAATGTAGTCTGGTTATGATGCTTGTTTTTCAGTTGTCGTGTAGCCTATTCAAACATATGCAACCCGAATCATGAAGATCTTCTTTGGCTTACGTCATTTTGACCTTTTTGATACACCTTTTTTTTTAATATAATTTCTTTTTTTATTGTGTCTACCCCCATTTATATTGATTTGTTTAGAGAATGCCTTTCTCTAGGCGTCCCAAAATGCAAATAGTACAGATTTAATGCAGAGTACTTTTCATTTTTTTCTTTTTCTTTCATTTCTATTCTTAATTATGTTTTCTTCTATGTGTCTATTGGAACAGCAAGGCTCATTCCTGTATGTTTGCTGTACACTGACAACAGAAATAAGTAAATACCTGTAATTAAAAGCTGAAATACTGACCTTTTGTCTCATATTCATCTTTTGATGTCGAAACCCAAATGTTTTCAGTGTACACCAAAAATGAAGGAATTGGCCTTGCTGTTCCAGTAGTTTTGGAGGGGACTGTACATAATGTTTACTTTAACATTATTTTCTTTAAAGGTCACCTATTATGCAAAATCCACTTTTTCATGTCTTTTTATACATAACCACGTGTCCCCTCTGATCAGATTTTGGCCACTTTATGATGTCATAACGATGTTTTGGCTTGTGTAACCATTAGACAATCAGTAACCAAGGTAACCCCCCCCACCCTTATCACCTGAATCTCCTCCTAGAGCACCATTGTGTTCTTTGTAACCAAATATCTCTCAGAGGGGCGTGGGGAGGGGCTCCTTATTTTCATCTAAAGTAACAGACAGAGAATCAGCACTTTGGAAACAGGGCTGAAACAGAGGGGATTATGGGTAATGCTGCAATGATCTGTTTGGTGTTTCAGCCAATCAGAGACATGTTCTGTATATATCTGAGACCTGGAATATATTGATGAAAGACAGTATAATAGGGGACCTCTAATTTATATACTCATGATGTTTTCTTCTATTTGTCTAGGTCCAAGCGGAGGGTTCTTGGTCGTAAGGAACCGACGGACTCCTTCGGCAGCCGGCAGAGTCTTGTATCTCCGGTGAAGCACAGCAACAGCGGCAGCGACATCCGAAACATGACCTTAGGCAGTCAGAGGTCCAGCTCCCGCAACGAGAACTTCATGGCCCTGCTTCAGAAGAAAGGCAGCAAGACTTCCGGCGGAGGAGCCAGAGTCTCTGCTATGGAGCTTCTCAAAAGCACAAACCCTTTGGCACGGCGGGTCACGGAGTTTACATCCACTTCGCCGACAGCTGGCGAGGGAGGAGAGTACGGGAAACCCCACGATCAGTGAAGTTAACCAGGTTCGTTGGCTCTTGAGAAAGCTACCAACCAATTCCACAATGCGCCACCCACTGAAGATGGGGCCTTCTGACCAACCAGATCGCTCCAACTACTGATTGACCATTTGCACTGTCCAATCGAATTGGAGCACATTTTTGGACCAAATGTCCCCCTACTATGGTTGAAGCGCTATCGTTCATTGTCCAATCGGTCCCTCTATGGAAGGAAGAAATCAGTGGAGAGCGAAAGTTGTTCTCACTTTATTTTTAATGAAAGATGGAGATTTTAAAGTTATGCTTCACAACTTCATTGGGGATATGCTCAGTGCGAAGGCTGGATGATAAGATGGATCGTTGGAGCAGAGAATATAAGGATAAACGGTGGATATCTTTACTCCTGGCTCCACTTTGGTGAAGACATCAAGGGTCCAAGATGAAGACAGAGGTTATTAATGAATCCTTAAGCAGTTATATTGATCCTCAAAGGTACCACAGTTATCAAATGAATCCAAATAATAATTGGAATAAAACACAAAAGTTGACTTCCAAACGATTCGTCCATTATTCAACCAAAACCCTCCAACCAGTAGCACTACAGCGACGACGCCAGTAGACCTACATGAATGAATTGAAAGGTAAATAATTAATGGAGATGATGAGGCACCTGAGAAAGCCTAAACATGTGGGCTTCTCTCATAACTCTCCTTCTCCTCCTGGTTACTGCAATACCATAGAAGGCATGATCATTTTCAGAGAAACTGAACAGTCTTATTTTGGCGAACGAAGCGCAGGATTTACAAAGAAAAACCACGTGGGGGCTTTTTGCCACCAAAGATGACGCATGAGCATGTCACAGATTTTTTTTTTTTGTTGGCTGAATGTGAATGGGGACCTTTTACAGAACATTCCACAGAGGCACCCGGCAAAAGGAGGGACATCTTGGGACGTAAGCACTTTTTTTTAACCTCGCCGACGGAGCGACGTTTCCACGGCGCAATCGAAACTCATCAATCATTATTTGATCAGTCTTTTGTTTTTCCTTAATCTTTTTTGTTAACCATGCTAGATGGCCATATACTGTACATGTTTCATTGGATTGTACTATATGTATCATGTACAAAGATAAATGTATCGCACCTATCAACGGATATCATCTGTTTGCGGACACAAAGACTAACAATAGTGTACAGAGCAGCAAGCAGCTTGGACTACAAACCATGGAAGGAAACACACACCCAAACACACACACACACACACATATGGACCAAGGACTAATGCCATGAAAGACAGGACAGACCAGAACATTGTGTGTGTGTGTTCGTAGGAGTGTGTGCGCTGGTAAAATCTAGCCTGTGGAGTTTCTGTACGGAGAGCATGAAGCAGGCCTGGTTATAAAACAGGGTCTTTATTCATTGTTGGTCTCTGGTGACGGGACCAAAGGACTGTTAAAAGCTACAAACAGACCAGAGGGGACCTAGCGGTGTGTATGTGTGTGTATTTTTGCGCTTGTGTATGTGTTCATGTGCGTGTAATGAGGGGAAGTGCCAAGAAAAAAAGCGAGAAGGAGAGAGTCCATTTGCCTGTTAATGTGTTTGCCATTTTTGGGCCCATGCTATGTGTGTGTGAGTGTGTGTGTGTCGCTGTGTGTGCATCGTCACCCTGCCCTGCAGTCCTTTCTTGAAATAGGATTAGCATGAAGTTAGCAACCCCCGCTACAAATATACACACATTACAAACCAATGGTTTACAGGAGCAATGACTGACAGAGTTTTGAGTTCTGAAAATAGGTATAATTATCACTTTGTCACCCTAGGTCATTACGGCCCTCGCCAGAATCTTTCTGTCCACACTGTCGCAAAGTTCTGAAACTGTGTTTGTGCTACCCTCCCTCTGGCTGTGGTCGAATGGCTCCATATTGCTTAGGACGGTTCCTATCGGAGTAACTGGGCCGTGTCTAAGTTGATGCCTTGATAAGAGCAGGTTGAGTTCCTTAAATCCTTAAGAAAAGGAACTGCAATGCTTCCATTCGTATGTACTTAAAGGTGCATTGGACCATCCTTAAAGGTGGGGTAGGTCATTTTGGAGAAACCAGCTCGAGTGCGCTAGAATTTGAAAATACACAACCGGAACAAATCTGCCACTTCCTTACAGACCCCCTCCTCCAACACACACGAACGCGCACATGACCAATGAGGGCACGAGATAAGTTTGTGCACAGATGGAAGGCTGACAGACAGGTAGGCCGTCCAGTTACTTTAGCCGGGCCGGCTCAGATGATTGGTCGAGCTTTTTACAGTACTACGGCTTCCACAGATGACATTTATTTATGTGTTTATTGTCAAAGCACTTAATATATTCATTCATTGCTATCGGGATGTTAAGAGCATTCCATGGAATATAACAAAAAGTGTATCTCGAGCAGGTTTCTCAAACTTACCTACCCCACCTTTAAGGAAAGAAAAAGGCGGAAATGCACTATTAAATTCGCGTTAGGGTTAGGGTTAGGGTTAGTAGGTGTTTTGGATTGCTATAATGAGTTCTCCTTTCCATCGTTGTTTGACCTCATGATGTTTGCATCAAGGTCAAAGAGAAATGGTTTGGAAAAGACGTTGAGTGTAATTTTTTTTGACTGTTGGGTCACAGCCTCCGCCACTTTCGTTTAAGAGGTGAGCTGGCAGCCTGTACCTCCTCTTCCTCCTCCCCCCCCTCCTCCTTTAATCACTACTGGAGCTCTCAGTCCATCTGTCTCTCTGCATCTAGCATCATCTCTCCTTCTCTCTCCTGTAACCTCGTGTTCTGGCACATACAGTAGCACCCTCTCTCTCTTTCTTTGCCCAAACACGGCAAGCTCGTTCTGCTTCTGCACATAACGCCGCCTTTTGATCGCTTCCTCTGTTACCCTTCTCTCCGTCCCCCATGTTTCCGTTAACCTTCGCCTGTCCCTCTCTTCCCGTCCCTCCTTCGCTCTGCATTCAGTCTATGCATCTGCAGGCGACACGACACCGGATGAATGTCAATGAATGACTGTTAAGAAAATAGATGCTGTGCTTTGTTTGTGCTTTGCAACAAAAAAAAACATCTTTCTATCTTCTGCCTTCTCTCTCTCTCTTGTTCTGTGTTTTTTATACTTTTTCCTTTGAGTAAAACATGGATGAATGAGTGGATGTGCACAAACACAGAAACAGGCAGGGTTTGAATGTGTTTTTTTTGCATAAAGGACCTTTACTTTTGGACTGTGAACGAAACGCCGTGTGGTATTTGACCCCCTTACCGCCCTTCAGTTCTGGACCAGCGTGCGGACAGTCTGAGAATGTTTGGATTAGCAGCGGTTCAGCTCTTACACCTGACTTATCCCCTGCACGGATGGATGTGTGGAGGGAGGAGGGGTCCTTCCATCTCTGGACTGGCAAACTATCCCTCGGTGCTATTGAGTCAGAGCCCCCCCTAGTGGGTGAAAGAAGGAATAACCACACATAACACAACAGGAGAGTAAAAAAAGAAACGCCTTCACATACATCTCTCTTCCTAGTCCTTCAGGTATTCCATCATCCTGAAAAAAAAGATTTTAAAAGTGCATAAATTATCATGATGACTAGTCAAGTGACGCTTGTTTTAAATATTTAGTGAATGAAAAAAAAGATAAAAAACTGTGTTTGTTTGCCTTGTATACTGAATTATGGGCGTGTTGCTGTAGCGCCTGTACTGTGTTCTTATTTTATATTATTACAATGATTATTTTTGTTTTCAGCTGCCTTGGTAGTACACACACACACACACACACACACACACACAACCACACACACACACACACACACACACACACACACACACACACACACACACAACCTTGCAAACCTTTGTTAAAACGAAATCGCCCTGTTAAGACATGTTTGGAAATCTGGTGCCTCGAGATAACTGACCAGACACATGTTAGCCAAAATCTGAACTGAACCCAGTTAATTAAGCTCAAAGGTAACAGAGTGGGAACAGAGAAAGGAGATGAGTACAGTGTTAGGATGGAGCGGACAATAATAACATGAACCGATTGTTATGAAGTCACATGAGGTGTGCGTGACACGTCAACAAATGTGGTTGTTAATGGGTAGGATTTGTCATTTTCAACGAGTTTTAAGGATAAACTAACCTCAGCGTTGTTTAACTTCCTGTGGCGACGATATATATCCAACATGGCACATTTGGTTAGTAGTAATGCTGCAACCATTAGTCCATTTATTGACAATTGAAGACATTTTAGTGCAAAAGTTGCTGATTTCGGCCTCCTAAATATGAAGTTTTGTTGCCTTTTTCAGTTTTATATAATCTAAAAGTGAATATTTGGCTTTTAGACTTGCAAAACAAGACATCTAAGGACTTGACTTTTGGACACTTTTGACTATTTTCTGACATTTTATAGGCCAAACTAATTTTAAACTCAAATTCATCCAGCTAAAAAATGGACTAATTGATAATGAGAATGACTGTTTGGCAGCACTAGAACAAAATAGAAGTACAAGTAAACAAAGACACACATGGGTACACTGGTTAAAAGCGTGCTACCCCCTGTGTGAGGATACAATCATTTAATATTTAGAGAAATATTTAATTTCTTTACAGTTTTCAGAGGCAGAGTTGCACTGGACGCAGAAATACACTTATTGGTTAGATTACTGCCAACTTGGTGCCATATTTTTGATACTTTTTAGATTTTACTACCAACAAACTTACAGACAATTGGAGCAATTAGTCTTTAGTGTATTTGGTTGATCCTGTAGCTCTTCACATACACACAATTACTAACCAATGGGACTAGGTCTGCCATAAGAGCAACTCTGCAACCATGAAAGTTCTGTATTAAATTGCACATCTCTGAAAAAGTTGAAAACATATTATATTGAAAAATGACATTTATATAGAGTGTGAAAAGAGAGCTGACACTAGAAATATATTGAATATTTAATCCCTTCTTCAGGAGGAGGGGAGGTGGAAACGAGGGCGTGGAGCAAAGGTTTGATTCGGCTAAACGTGGGGATTACCACGGCGAAAATTACACTTCCTCCGTCAACGTTTCCTCCACCTCTTCCCTCCTTTCTCCTCAGCTGTCGTGTGACTCAGTGAGTAATCATGTTTAAAGCTTTTCCCTTTCTCTCACTCTCTCGTTTGCTGCCCTGCAACGGGATGAAAGGAGATCACTTTTTAATGAATTCCTTATTTTAGCTGCAGATTCAGAGAAACGTAAAGTGTTAAGTTGGAGCGTCAAAAAAATAACTTTTCTCCAAAGCCAACATAAAGATTTATCAGATGTTGGTTTGAAGAACATGTTTACAGTCATTTGTTAAAGACAATGAATAAAGCCACTAAATACTACCCAGAATAAACAAATCAAACATCCCTTCAGACTTCGATCCAAACAAAGTCAACCACCATTTTTGCAGAAACAGCTTTAAAGAAGTCAATTGTTAAACCACTTTTTTTGACAAATATATCCCAAAAAAGCACAAATGCTTCAAAAATAAATACAGTTTTTCCCGCTGTTTGATCCCAGTTTTAAGATCTTTCATTCAAAAAACATGCGGTCCAGCTTCACGAGAGAGTGAAAGACGGTGAAAAAGAGAAAAGAGGGGTGATGGTTGCATATTTGGGCCAAAGAGTATCCTGCATTTGTATGTCAGGGTGTACCAGACGGGTGGGGTTAACAGTGTTTGGACGTTTCAGGGGTACTTTGGAGTAGGAATGAAACTGATGTCTCTTTTGCCGCTAAACCCCACCCGCCTGTCACGCCAAGTTGAGTAAAACAAACGCGCCCATGGGTCTGTACATGCAGCTTGTGAAGAGATAAGATAATTAGAAAGAGAGACAGACAGAGCTATTGGAATTATTCTATTTTTGTTATTCCTCATTGAAAAAGACATATTTAAAGGAATATTCCGTGTATGTATTGAATAACCTGTTTCCCCCATCCAGTGGTGTGTATCTGCGAGGAGGCGTCACACACAAACGCTTCCCCCCCGCAGCCATGCATCGCCAATGTGATGAAATTATTATATCAGTATAAATAAATTATTTTTTCTTGCTTAAAAAAAAACTGGGTGTTTTGATTGTTTGCTTTCTTGCTGTTGTGAATGCTCTCTGCCCTCATGGTCTCAAGGTTCCTCTCTGAATAGATACTAATGATCAGAGATGGCAAAAGTACACACATCCTTTACTCAAGTAGAAGCACAGATACTCGTGTTTAAAAATACTCTGGTGAAAGTAGAAGTACTGACTAAACTTCTTTACTCAAGTCAAAGTAAAGAGGCTTTGAAATGTACTTCAGTAAAAAGTACCCATAACTAGCAGCTGTTTTAAAGAGTACCTGACCTCCCTTTATATTAATAGAACAATAATGTCATTGTTAGCTAATGAATGTTTCCATGCTGAACAACGGCAACATGACAACGTTTTCATTGGTCCCTCTTCTTTAGAGAAGACCAGGAAATGATGGATACACGGATCGTGCTCAAATCAATAGGCACGCAATGACTCTAAATAATAATGATCACGCCACCAAACACACATTCAGACTAAAGGAACCAGCCTGTTTGGAAAATG